AGCTGAAAAATATGGCTCGATGGGGTATTATCTTGAACGCTGAAGACGATACTTGAAAAATAAACCATGAAGGAAAGTTACAATCTTGTATTAAAGAAAGGTAACGATTCTGCACGCGAAGCTTAAGTGCGCAACCGTTTATTTACACGAAAACTCAAAGAATAACAAAGTATCATCTCGCATCTTTGCAAGCACGAACGTAAATTTATGAAGAATCGTTCGAATAACTTGAATTTCGAAGAATTCCGCTTGACCGGAGGCTTCTGCACCAAGAAGATTAGCGTTGTTGCGTGCAATTTTGTATAAAGTACTGCAACTTTACTTCCGAACTGATGTTCATCGAATACTAAGACGATACCTTTGCTATCCTAAAAAGACCTCGCTATCATCATGGTGGCGATAATAGCACCAACAAAAATTCCCGACAAAATCAGGTGCTGATTGCGTACTCTTTTCTATTTCAAGTTTCTGTCAACTTTCTTCTGATTAAAGTCTCTCTGCGCGTCGGTGGTTGACTACCCCTGACCGTCCGTTACAGAAGTAATTATTCATAGCACGCAATTACGAGCGGTGCGCGGCGTGTCGCTGGTATCGCGGCATCAATTGCACCGCTGCTCGCAGCCCTGATTGCGGGTTTACGTCTCAAAACAATGATTTATCTAATTAAGCCTCGGTTTTGCATTGTTAGCCAGCCTTTTGTTGTGTGCGGCCCATTATTCCGCTGTACATTATTCCCTGGGCACGAAATAGCGACAGATCGGTGGCTTTCGTGCCGCGGCACCTTTCAAACGATCTCCTTGGTGTGTGTACACCTAGGAAACTTGGAAAATCGACGGTGTATCAAGCATAATCTCTCCAATTTACCAAACTATGGATTTCAACAAACCCAGGGTGATTCCCCCTGATGCATGGATATCTTGGAAATCCCCTATCGGTTGGTAATCCTGCAATTACCAAAGGGAAGGTTGGTCATTCATGTTGCCGCCAGAGGCCGCGAGGATTCAATTTGAGGTATACTTCCCGCGGAAATAATTGAATTCTTTTAAATAGTGCCTCTTGGGGGTTGAAGATTGGATTGAATTTTTCAAGTGTTATATATAAGCATTCTAATTAAATCTTCGAATTCTAAATATAAAAAGAAACATTGTGAAGGGAAGGAGTACTTTAACAATTGATTTCCTAAAATTAAACCACTAAAGATTAAAGTTATTAGAGACGGTGCAAGAGAGAGATTCGAATGGTGAATTTTGAGCAGAAAAGAATTGAAGATAACCAGCAGGCACTTTTGTTGCGTGTAAAAGAGTACCTTCAACGGTTGCATCCAGCTTTGAAATGCATGCATGAAATGAGCTCTTAACGCGAACGAGACTTTTAGTAAGAGGCTGTGCAACGTGTTATTAAAACAAGTCCGCTACTAAATAAATTAAAAAAGTTTGCTACAGTTACCATCATCGGAAAACGGACAATGCAAATCCTTTAATTTTATTTTTCTTTTCGATAATAATAAGATATTCTGTTGAATTTTTTGCGAAACATATTCCTTTCTTCGAATCGAATTATGTCTCGTGAACCATTTCGATATTGTGCATGTACAAACATAGTATTAGTCACGAATTCATAAAAATAAAGGGAAAAAAGAACAATATGAAGTAATTACAGGTAAAAGACAATTATAGAAAAGCCTTGGGAACTTGCAATTAGTTCTACACAGTTTTCATGTAATTGTACCTGTGCATTATGAAATGAGCGATGTTGTAAAAAGCCATTCGACGGACATTGAAAAGTTTTAACAGCGGCAAACGTGTTTTACGTAATGCCAATAACGATAATGTTGATCAACTATCGTGAACAATTTTCCTCGCGGTCCTGTTTCGATCTAAATAACAACTTTCAAGTTTCTTGCGATATTCCAATGAATTCATGAAAAGGAATAATTTAACAGAAGGCAAGCTTACCCTTACTTTTCTCCAACCCCATTAACACTAATGCATATTTCTGCACATAATCATTAAAAAAAAAAAAAAAAACAACAACAACAAAATGTAATAAACATTTCTTCAATTTCTTTCAAAGTTTCTCAGTTTTCGATCACATCGTCAACGGAAACGTATCAAAACCCTTTCACCCCCTACAAGCAATCATCGAAACAATTCCCGTATGTGTTTCACTCATGCAACCTCTTTTTTTCACGTGACGAAACAACACAAAACATTTTATTTCACCATACCAAATACACTTCTGACAACGAACAACAGAGCCGCTTGCTTGTGACCGGATATCGAGCGATCTAAAACGTCGAAGATAAAAGGATGGGTCGAATCGCATGTCACCGAGACGTTTCGATTTGCTGGCAATCTGTTTTCGGTGGTTTACTCGCGATAGCCACCACCACTGTTGAAAAATATGTGTAACATTTGCGATTTCACCGCGATCGGTTCCAGCTTAATGTCACCTGGATATCGGTCGCATGTCGCAGCTTGTCTGTTTCGAAACGGGGAGATATCGGCCGTGTCTCGCGATCTGATAACGCTCACGAAGTGAATCCTCATCCGATAAGAGACGATTCTTGCACGTGCAAGAAGAGAATCAGTTGGAAATGTGCTTGGTGATAATCGATCGAAGACGATTCTTACTGTTGAGAGAAGGTGGGAAAAGTATTTGTAATTCGATGAACGGAGAAGTATAATTAAGTTGAGAATGAACACGTTGATCGATTGGATAGATACAGATCGTTAGAAGATATCCAAAGAATTGTGTTCCAAATCTGAATGACTTTATGTTTCATTCCGTCGGAGAACTACGGTGAACAATTTCTTCCTCACTATATGAACACATAAATGAATATTATAAAAATATCCACAAATATATCCCATAACACACATGTTTAGCAACAAATAAATTTAACCAAGTCCCTATCTCTCATGTTCGCTCACAGAAAAAACAACTGGAGGAGTTGCTAAGTCCTTAACCTTTTCTCAATACAAAGCATTCAATTCCTTCTTCCATCCGATTGCTATTAATTCTCTCCTTTCTTGAATACCAAAGCCGAAGATTAATGTTAACAACTGTTCGAATGTTCATTAATCTTTATTGATTTTCTATGACATCCTGGACGTTTTCAGATCGCAGAGCACCGTAAAGACACACGGATAAAATGAGAGAGAAACGTCGAAGTTAACGAGTAGTGTTGGTCGGGAACATTACTTACAAACGACATCGGCATAGATCCAACGAAATTCTCAACTCGTTGTCCAAGTAGGAGAAAGAGAGAAAGAGAGAAAGAGGATGGTGAATGCGTAAGGAGAGGAGCGTGTGTTAGACAAGGTTGGAAGATGACCGGTGGAATAGGTGTAATCGTTTAACGCGCACGATGGTATCTTTCGGAGCGGCTGGGTTCGGATCTGGGTAGCGCCATGCTGGTTACAGGATTGGTCGGTTTGTTAGACCAACAGGCGGAGCTTGGAATGGTTTTAGAGGGGGATCGCGAAAGTGACGGGAGAATTTCAGGGGGTAGAAGTTGGCGGGCTGGCGCGAAGAGCGCTTGGAGGTCAGGTTAACTCCTCTGTCGAGGAGGTGAGTCCGCCACCACCACCACTGCTACCACCACCGGCCCCTTCCGATCTATGCCACGGTGTCCTGACTTATGCTACGCCCGGCAGGGCCGCCAGTACACGATACGCTTCTACCAGGCGAACACTGTGCTTCTTCATCGTGTGCTGGCTGTTCGCCTCTACCTCCCGGTTTTCAGCTACGGCTACGAATCCGCGTTTTTCTCGCGCGGTGCGACGCGTCACCGTAGGAAATAAGTGTTAGCGACAAAAGGGAAGGGAAACGGAGCACCGTCGTCCAGGAGAAAGAGGTGGGGGATACCGCGGACGAAGGGAGGGAGTGAATGTTCGGCGGGTGAGAGAGGGATGCGCGGTTCAGTTTCCACGCGCACGTGACGCGATCCGATCGAGAAACGTGTTTTGAATGCTTTCGCCGCTCGACGAACGTACTGACGTCCGCGACGTACGGTCTACTTTCACGGTGTTTTAAGGTTAGAACTTGTACTCTCGGGTACCGTGTTCTATCAAAGAAGCAAGGATTACTTTTCGTTATTAGTGAGAGTGCGTGACAAGTTGAGTGAGAAGACAAGAAACCTCGTGGACGACGTATCGAATTGAACGAGATTGACGATGAGGGCGTCGTACCGACGCTACTCTCCAGGGGTCGCAAAGTTGCACGAGCTTCGATATTCGATAGCAATCGAGGCGGGATCATGATCGATTGGACGACGTTCAGAGTGATGCACTGACATTCGGCGGTAGTGATTGTCCATTCGCGATATCAAACAATGGTGATCGACTGTTTGGTATTTCGGTTGTTCTCGCCTCGATGAATCAGTGACAGTGAACTAAACTAAACAAGTAGACGACTGCGAACGTATCCAAGCTCACTGTAAACAGGTTGGAAGATGATCTTTCGTTGTTATGGCGTCTGCCGCGTTCCGATACAATTCGTAAACATGAGTGCGCCGGGAATGTTGATCCGGTAGCCGATAATTGGTGCGGACGGATTGTATTATTGCCGTGGAAAACTGTATGATCGCCGGGTGCGTTATTGTTGTCGAAGCATAAACGGTTGGAGCGAAGCGTCGTTGTCGAGATTGGTACGCGAATTTTGACGGTGAACGGGCGCGAAAAGAGGTAGAGAAGTGTCGGTTATCAGTGTTACGTTGCCGCAACGGGAACAGCTGTCGCAGCTGCAACGTCCCGACGTCCAGCAGCGGGATCGGGAGTGGAAAGCTGGACGCCGGCAGCTGGTAGTGACAGACGACGATGACGTAGCGTCGGTAGAAGCAAAGGGCGTCACGGTCTGCACGGTGTACGCGCTGGACAGGACCGCCTCGGCGGGGCTGGGGGTGGTTGGGGGTGTCGTCGGTGTCGCTGGAGGAGGGGGTGGTGGAGAAGGGGAAGTAGTAGTAGTAGGAGGAGGAGGAGGTGGAGGAGGAAGTGGCGGTGGTAGCGGGAACAGCGTCGGGGGTGGCGTGCAGGGGGTGGTCGCCGGGATTTGTGGACCAGCGAACGCGTCCCTCGCGGCGACGGATTACGTGACGGCGGCATGCTATCCCCCGGGATCTCAGCTCACCCTGACCGCCTCTCACCCTCAGCCCCACGTCGTTGATCCCGCGATGACGCCCACCTCGGCGCCGGTGCCGACTCCGACCTCGGCGTCGGGACCCAACAACCCGGTCGCCATGAGCCAACTGGGAACCGTCTATGCCACCAAAAGACGACGCCGAAACGGGAAAAGGTAAGCGACAACGTTCTTTTCTATTTCCGATTTCGTCACCAAACCAATCTAGATGCTAATTAGGGACCGTCTTGTTTGTCAATTTATCAGAGCTGCTTTTTATGCGAAATCACTCGACTGATGCGTGTAATCAAAGTTTTTATATGTACTCGAGTATCGGGATAGGCATGCTATTACCAACTTACCGAGTAATTGATGTTCTCTACATCGATAGTGAATATTTTCAGAAAGCAGCTATTATCTTCTCTATACGTTATGAGAACAGTATTGAGCTTGATCTACTTTGTTTCAATAAATTGTTTCCGGTCTCTGTATGCGATGGCTATAGAATCTTGTTTAGATTTAATATCTTCGGATTGAAATATTTCTCTTCTGTCTATTCTATACTAATGTAGATGGAACACACGAAACGAGGCAATATTTCTTAGGTTATTCAAATTCTTGTCCCTTCGTGTTGTTTCTAATCGAAAAAAATCTGTAAAATGGCGTGGAGAGGTATCGTGACGCGTGTTTTCCCCTTGGTTGGTTGGAAAATTGACGAAGAGAAAGAAGGGACTGGAAGGCGTTAATTTGTTGGTCGTTCAAGTAGGCAACGATAGCAAGCACGTATCGTGACTAGACGCATGTACAATTCATGTGTCTAAAGTAAAGCTAATGGGATCGAAGAAGGGTGTTCACACGTGAAACACGTCCAACGTTGGACTTAACGTTGTCAGCCGATTCAAACGCGTACGTCTCATCCGATTTCAACCTTCCACCGACTACAGACGATGCTTGCTTATCGATTATGTGCTAATTCGATGCCTCGAATTATCGAAGTCATCCCTTCAAGGGAGATCCTTGAAGAGAAGGATAATCGTGGTCGCGTTTGCGCGCGTAATCCCGCGTACTTTTAATTTGCAGACGGAAATGGCTCGCGCTTGAACGCGAGGCGGGCTTGTGATCGTTTGAGCATGGCTATCGGACACGCATAAATATATAAGGGGCAGACTAACCCGCGACACACGATACATATACGTGTGTAATGTTCGATACATCAAGAGAAAGATAGACCAGGGATAACCGGTGCTAAGCTGACAGAGACGGAGTGCGGCACTGATTGCGAATAAGGGGAGGGCAGAACCTCTGGCCAAAGAAATATCCCTCTGAACTTTACTCGAATCGTTAGCATACGTTGCTCGTAATTAGCTGAGATGTAGCTGAATTAAGCATCATCTTTCTCTTTTCTTTTTCTTTTACCGTATCATGAGTTGGGGCATGGATACACATTGTTGATTTAACGAATTTAAGTTTCCTTTCAACTTGATTCGAAAGGGTTGAGTCTTCTCAGATACGGTAAATTAAATTTTATAGAATTATAGTTGCTATGTCCCATAAAAGGGGTAGTTTTCGGTTGTAAAATTGGAAAATCTCTAAATCACTTTACTTCTGTAAAATAAGGCTTGGAAACTCTATCGCGCGTAACTCAATTTATCGTTCCCGTTAATTAGCACGTAGACGTGGTTGGGGTACGTGGTTGGGGTACGTGGTTTCCAAACGATCGATTAAATCGCGAAACGTGAAAGATGATGTCGACCGAGAAGAAGTTAAAAAGAAAGTTATCGGGCCGAGTTTTACAATTATAATTACGATTGTTTATCGATAGCGAGAGGATGAATATTCATGGTGGAACGGTTGGTTATAACGGGCATAAAAGAGACGCGTGACATAATCAAACGATAGGGTAATTTAAACCAACAGCATTGCTTTATTATAATGACCCGCGTTCTCAGAATATATTTTACATTTGTCGATATATGTATTTCATCGTATTATGCATATCCTCTCTCCCTCTCCACCATTCTCTCGAGATAAGTCGCACGTTCGCTTGAAATATATTTTTATGCCGACGTAAGAACTCGTAAAATGACATTATTTCTTGAATTATTGATTACTGCTTTGCATAAAACTTAGATTATCAAGGGGATAACACAAATTTCAATGTACTAGTTTAGCCGGTGAAGTTTTTTTTTCTACGTTACTTCTCTTCACGTTGTGTGCTGATATGAAATCTTAAGATTCATGAAGTTTTGATTTAAATTCCCTTCAAAAATTACAGTGTTCTAACTAAAAAAACAAAGGCTGTCGACCTAAGAAACAAATTGATCCCCCCCCCCCCCCCCCCCCTAATCTTCGTTTCCAAAAATTCAGAACATTAATAAAAGTTGTATTCTCTGAAAATTAAAGTTTCCCTGTGAAAGCCATAGCATTTGAAGGAGAAAACAAAGGATCGATCTTTCCGAAGGATCCTCGATCACTCTCGATCGTCGGAGGATCGAAGAACGCGTCACGATCGACAATCGTTCGCCAGTTTGAGCAGAGGTTCGAAGGAACCCGCTTCGCGATCAAGCGGATCACGAGCGAGCGTAATGGAGTTTTAAACGGTGTTTCGAGGTGTACGGTCGACGATCCTTTTCTCGTTCCATCTCACTAGTTTTCTTTTTGATACGATAAAGAATGAGAGGAGTTTGTAGCCCGGGGCATTCTGTCTGCTTCGCTCTCCGCTTCTTCTTCAGCTTCTAGGGATCGCATAGTCCTTCCCTCGGGCTCTCTCGAACTCCTAGGATGAGTTTAAAGATTCCAGAAGATACACGCGGTATTTTGACCTATGGCCCCTAGAGTCTATAGTCTCATTGATGAACAATAATCCACTCATCATCAGTAGGTATGGTTTTTTGCTAGGTGGAGAGTCGTTGGGTTGTTTGCTTAGGTCTTTCAGCTAATAAATTTATTAACGTAGTATCGCATTTACTATGGATGTCCAGGTATCTAAGTAGATCTAATAGTCTCTTGATCAGCACGACGTGATAATGCGTCAGTGGTTTGTATACAAGAAAAACATGAAAATGTCACATGAGAAGAGTGAACTGATAATCACAACCATGCAGATTTATGAATAATTTATCACTAACTAGCAGCAGGATTTCATTATTCCTTCACCACGTATCGTTCTAAAAAGAAATTATTGTTCTTCCCTCTGGCACCCTACAGATTGTACACCTTGATACCGAGTTTAATTATCGAAAATTTGTCATGAATGTTGCATTCGGATCGCGGAAAATCATGATAGAACAGTGACTTACCATAATCGCTAACGATCCACGAGGAAGGGGGCAGTATGGAGTTTCCCCAAAATTCCCGAGGGTTCGGGGAAAAAGGTGGCCCGCGATGCACGGTGCTCGTCGTGGCCTAATGACAGCAGCTTCTATAATTTGGAGTTTTTGAGCGAACAGCCAAATTACCGGCGAACGAAGGGATTACTGTTATTACACGCGGCCGCGGACTCAGTCGAAAGCTGATTATACTTTAGTCAGTCTCTCTCTCGACTGGTCTTCGCTCGTTCGACTGTCAGCTTCGCTCTCGTTCTTTGAGAAGGAGGCCCCGAATCTCTGTGGGGCACAGACGACCCTTTTCGAACGACGATACGTCGAATTTGCCGAATTTCATCTTCGTTAAGCGACGCGTTTTTCGATACTTGCACATTTATTTCTCTCAATATATCACAATTTTTTGTAAAGACTGGTATTTACGTTCAATGGTGCCAAGTATTAGGCTCATTAACTTCCAGTTTGCTACTTTACTTCGTTAGGATAATAGTATAAAGGAAACGTAAAGAACCTAACCAGAAGGAATTATATTATATAACGTATATATAACATTATGGATTATATAAGTCAGACAAACGAGCAATTTTATGTTCGAATTTAACAATTCGAAACACGGGAAATTACTAAAGAACCACGAAAATAACCGAGGATATTTACGAGGAGGTCGTTGATTTCTTGATGGACAACAACCGTCGTACCGAGTTTCGGCTGATTTGTTGTTAAGTAATTGCTCAGCCTCCTTATGGTCTTCTAACGCGCGTTTATAGCTTTGTAATGAACCTGCTTCACAGGCCTTTCCTCCATTCAGCCGGTCAAAGATCTTCGAACGGGCTTCGTTGCTATCAAACTTTCTCAAGAATCAAATTTATTTCTATTGTAAAATATAGCGCGTTTCGAAATGGCCGCGAGTTCGATCAGCTTGCCAGGACTCGCGGAAGAGTTGAAAGCTGCAATGTTATCAACGTAGTCCTGTGACAGAGAGGAACGATTAGATGTCGTACGATCAGGGCAAGATTTAATTCCGTGGCCGATGGAGGATATCGTTTACCTACTTTCTACATCGTAGCGAGCACACGATGTGTAATTTAATAGACTCCCCTCGCGCGTTAGTCGGCGCCGTGATGCGTTTCGCTCGTGCGAGAGATATGTATAGCCCGAGCCCGCGACAAGACCATTATTGCTGGAACACTCATAACTCCCGTAACCAGCCACACCCAACAGATTTAACACCTCGTATCCAATTATAACGATGCCCCGTGTCACGCTTATAATTGGTGCCCCATTACATATTACCCTGTCGCTTCCGACCCCCTTTGCTTTCTCCACATCTTCACTCGCGGACACTAAGTTTTCGTTATTCTATGCTCGACAATCCTCTTCAATTTCCTATATCAAAACAGACAATTTTTTCCCACCCCAGTTCGTATTTGTTCAACATTGAAAATTAGTAGTATGTACCTAAGTAATGTTGGCTCATCGAGAAACAAAGTTTCCACGAAGTAATCCGGTACATGGTAAAGGGTAGAACGAACCGATTAAACAATCGGCAGGACGCGCAGTGCATCTTCCACCCGCGTTCGAAGCTGCTGGACCGAATGGGGCCCGGTCCAATGGTGAATGGGCCGCACAGCAAGGAATATCCGTCCTCGTGGTTACGGCACCGTGAATAGAGCCATAACGAAGTGAAATGTGCAGGTGAATTTATGCTGCAGGAACGGAGGTGCGCCTGTTTCGTTTAAACCTCTCCTTTCTTGGCGCACTGAAAAGTGGACCCGCGAAAAAACAGCCACGATGCTGATTGAACCTCCTTAAACGAGAATGATGATGAGGTTTAATCAATAAAACGGGTTGCGA